CCGCGGGGCGAGGGAGGGCGAGAGCCCCCCCGCTTGCACCCACCCGTGGGCTTTCCTCCCCTCCTTCGCCCCATTCCTTCCAGTGATCTCGCCCCTCGGGAACACGAGGGGGACTTGCTCTCAGAGTGTGCCCGCTTGGATTAGCTTCTCCTCGGTTAGTCTGGGGCGGGGTTTTTAACTGCAGTAATCAAGTCCCTAGTCCTCACACCGGGCCTAAGCTAAGCTCTAGTGCCAAGAGCTCGTGAAAGGTGGTCTTTTTTCCAGCGTGGCGCGGCGCGAAACGCAACGTCCCCGCGGGCTGCTCTCCGCGGCCAAACCGCCGCTCCGTTCGCCGGAGGGCATAGACCGGGGCGAGGGGCCGGGCCGCGGGGAGGAAACGGCCGCGGCGGGACCCCCAGGCCAGGAGGCCAGGAGCTCTCACGGCCGGCCCCCGGGCTCGGCGACCCCTCGCGCGCAACCGCCGCGTTTGGCTGCCCCGGGCACCCCCAGCGGCCTGCGTGCCCCGCCGCGCCCTCAGCCGCCTCCAGCCTCGTCGTCCGCGCGCGCGGATGGCCCAGGCGCGGCGCGGGACGCGGAGGCTGCCCTGCTTCGGTGGAACGTCGGAACAGGGCTTTCCACCGAGAGCACAGTTCGGGAGACGGGCGCGCGAGTCACGACGGTCTGCGGAAAGCGCTCAAGTTACACGCGGTCGGCTGGCGCCACGCATTTTCGCAGGGCGAACTCAAAGCACGACGAGGGCTGGTTTCGGCTCAGCGGCGAGAAATGACTGATTTCAGCCACTGCCATGCGATGCGTATTTACCCAAGAACGCGATGAGGTTTACGTCTGAGCAGCGTTCCTAGATTGCGCTGTGATTATTTACTTATGGCATTTCTATCCCGCTTCCTCTAAGGAGCTCAACGCAGCATCCATCAGTCTCTTCCTCCGCTATTTTATCCTCACAACAACCCGATGGGGTAGGTCGAGCTGACGGAGGGGAGGGGAGGGGAGGGGAGAGAAAGAGACTGTGCCAAGGTTATCCAAAAGGCTTCCTGGGGATCTGAACACACGTCCTAGCCTCCTCCAGATCTTTAAAATTGCACTTCCCAGCCATTGGCCTGACTGGCCGGGGGCTGATGGGAGTTGGAGTCTGAAACTCCTGCGGGACTCTAGCTTCCAGGAGATGCCCCTTACCCAACTGCTACTGCAGGGGCGTTCTCGTCCCATGTAAACAAACGGGGTTTACATTCCTTGCCTCATCAGTTTTGCCTGAAGATAAGGCCCTGCTAATTCAGTGGGATTTGTTTCCTGGGCAGGACATCCGATACTGAGATGCTAACATGATTGTCTGGACTGTAACAATTATTGTGCTGCAAAAGGGGAGGTTTTCTAGGAGAGAAGTATTTATAGATATATAAATCAGTCCAAACATTATTTGGGCCAAAGGAAAGGCAGTGCTTTGTAGATGAGTGGATTTTATTTTATAATGGATTTAGAGAACTATAATACCGTGGGTACTAAAACAGAAATGCCTCTTCCCCAGATAGTATGATATGAGGCACTGGTTTTTCCGCAAGAATGGCGATGTTGACCAATGAACTAACACAGGAGCTTTAATCCTTACCTAAGAGAGAAGGGGACTTAGATGAAAGGAGAAAGGCGAGGTCCCATCCCAACCAAACGGAAGCGCTTTAAAATCTGCTGGATGACAAACGGAAGCAGGTGTGTAACTTTTCCAGGGAAATTAGCAGGGAGTCGTATGGATTCATGTTGCCTGCATGGCCTCCAGAAAACGTTCTGTGATCGTTCTGGGCCACGTAGGAGATTCTGGATTGATCGGGAAAGGGGCCGCGTCTGTCCGTCCGTCCGTCCGTCCATCCATCCTTGGGCTTATCTGACGAGCCCTTGCATAAACATGGCACCTCCTCCTGAAGGGCTACTTGCTTGTCAGCTCAGTCCAGCCAGGCAAACAAGCAACCAGTGGGGACACAATTGTGATGCGCTTTGGGGGAGCCCCCCCCCAAAAAACTACATTTTTATTTCAGTTTTGTGGCTGCAATTTTGCTTTCGGCTCTGCATGGATGCAAGAATCTAATTTCCTGTGAAACTGGGGACACTTTTTCAGCAGGCTCCGGAGAAAAGAGGCCCTGTTTGTCTTCAAAAGGGGGGAAGAGTCCCCCCTTTTTCTTCTTCTTCTTCGTCGTCTTCTTCTTTTTCCAGAATAGATATAGTACGAATTTTTAATTCGTCTTCCTTTCACAGACAACAATGCTGGTTTTGAAAGGCGGATACAATTTGGGTTTTGTGGAGGTCTCTCTCTGCCCTCTCCCGGCCCAGCTGTCCATATGGAATACAGGGCCGTACGGCATGGTTCACAATGGCACCAACTGACAGGCGGAACAAAAAAAAAAAAAAAAAAAAA